TGAAAGACCTCTCTCTCTCTTTCTCTCTCTATCTCCCTCTCTCTGTGCATGTGTGTGTGTTACTCTGCCTTTCAAATAAGTAGAACTGAATAATATACACTTTAAAAAGTTAAAGAAAGCTCTCAAATGTAGACCAAAAAGATGCTGTCACTGTGACAACAGCATTCCATATTGGTACCAGTTCAAGTCGCAGATGTTCCACTTCTGGTCCAGGTCCCTGCTAATGTGCCTAGAAAAGCAGTGGAGGATGGCTCCTGCCACCCACGTGGGAGACTCAGATGAAGCTCTGGCTTCAGCCTATCCTAGTCCTGGCCATTGTGGCCATTTGGGGAATGAACCAGCAGATGAAAGATCCTTTTCTGGTGGCCAGTGCTGTGGTGCAGCGGGTCAACATCCTGGCCTGAAGCACCGGCATCCCATATGGGCACCAGTTTAAGACCTGGCTGCTCCACTTCCAACCCAGTTCTCTGCAATGACCTGGGAAAGCAGTAGAAGATGGCCCAAGTGGCCCCTGCCCCTGCACGGGAGAAGCTCCTGGCTCCTGGCTTTGGATCAGCTCAGTTCCGGCCGTTGAGGCCAATTGAGGAGTGAACCAGCGGATAGAGGACCTCTCTCTCTCTCTCTCTGCCTCTCCTCTTTCTGTGTAACTCTGACTTTCAAATAAATAAATAAATCTTTAAAAAAAAAAGAGAGATCTTTTTCTGTCTCTCCCTCTCTCTCTGTAACTCTGCCTTTCAAATAAATAAATAAACAATTTTTTAAAAAGAAATAATACACAAAGTTTCCCTGCACTAATATCCACGAATTTACAGACTGAAAGATTCCATGGTGCCTAGAACAATAAATGGGAATAAAACTTGATGTCCAGTGTCCATCTTAGTGTGAACACACACGTGCTCCTCACAGCTGAGCGACTCTGTGTACTTCCACTCTTGTCGTGCTTGCTGTCTTACGGAAGCTTCACCTGGGGCAGACATCCGGCCCAGCACTTGGGATGCCACTTGGGACCGCTGCACACCATACGGGAGTGTATGGGTTCAAGTCCCGGCTCTGCTCCTGAGTCCAGCTTCCTGCTAAAGTGTACCCTGGAAGGCAGCAGGTGACGGCTCAAGTAGTTGGATCCCTGCCACCCATCTGGGAGATGAGGCTTAAACTCTAGGCTCCTGGCTCTGGCTTGGCCCAGCCCTAATTGCTGCAGGCTTTTGGGGAGTGAACTAGCACTTGGAAGAGCTCTCCATCTCTCTCTGCCTGTCATATAATTAATTAAATGCCCCATAATTTATTTAAAAAAAAAAAAACAAACAAATTTTCACCCAGAATCAATAGTTTTCTTGTTGCTTTGTTTGCTTAGTTTTTTATTTACCTATTTTTCTTAATTTACACTAATTTCTCTAAAATTCTGATTACCAAATTCACCTGAGATCCTTGTTCTGACCCACAGAACAATTTCCTATTATTGGGAAATTCTAGAACAAGGGGGATTAGAAAGGAACCCAGATGTGCTCAGGGAGGAGAGAAAATGGGCAAAGCACACAGCAATAAAGCTGCCGCCCAGGCGTGTGCACAGCAAGCCCAGCCATTACAGCAGAAGACGCCTGATCTGGAATTCTAACCAGAGGGAGTCCCCGGCAGGCACGAGAGGAGCAGGTGACCTCTGAGCTGCCCATTCCCCACACCACTACCCATACTCTTTCTCAGGAAGTCCCTCGAAAATACCATCTACCATAGGAAGTCAGCAAAGGAGAGGAGAGGGAAGTCACTGAAGACAGTGGCACTGCAGGAGTGGGGGGGACAGGTGGTCGAGGAATTCCTAACATGGAAGCTCCCTCTCCCTCCCGATATCTGCTCTGGGATCTTCCTCTTCTGGGGCAGGACAGCCCTTCCTCAGGCCCCACCCTCATCCAGCTGCTTCCTGCTGGGCGAGCACGCAGCCCAGTCATCAACTACACTGTTTATGAGTAACACAAGCGACACCTTGGCATCCACCTGCTGGCACTTTTGTCTTCCTTCACAAATGACCAAACCTTGGCAGGCAAAGTACACAGGAAACTTTAGAAAAAGGTCAGGAACACCGCCACAGTTCTCAGGTTGGCCCCACCGCTGGTGGGGTTTAAGTCCTTGGGCTGCATCCTGTGTCATGCCCAGTAACCAGCTTGTTGTCACTGGGCGGGGCAGAGTGGGTGTGTAGTCACAGTCACATCTGCAGATGGAACCTTGCCCTTTAAGGCCCCCAGACTATTGGAAGAGGTGCTATTTAACCTGCCAGTGCTGGCCTTGGAGGGAGTAG